TCCACTCCACCCTTTTTCATTATCGTCACAATTATTAAGATAAGATATTGTGATGTACCTTGCTGTTGTAACACATTAATGACCCCACTGTGGCTGGCATAAGTATTTTATCACATCATCAACATGTGGGCTGTCACCCAATGTAAAAAGGGCACATTGAAAGAATGCTTACCTATCATATGCTTCAAATAATGCCAAAGTGTAAACAATCATAGATGAGCACGAACCCAAAAAAGGAAGTGACCAGCACTGCTCTGGTATTCGGATCCAGTGGGACGACGAGCTTCTCTTCAGTTTCTGGAATGTCGGTGCAGGGCTTCTTGGTGTTGAAGAAGGTGTGGAAAAAAACAAATCTGGAAAAACAAAAATTGCATCATCATCATCATCATCATCATCATCACTGATGGGAATGTGTACATACAATGGTACTTCAACTTACAAAAGACCCGGCCGACTTGAGTTTTTATTTTTGTGAAGATACAGTATCAGTACTTCTACTTTAGTATGGCATGTGAATACTTTTGCCACATCTGGTCATCATCACTGGAACCCAAAAGGAACTTACTTGGCAATCTCCAAAATGAGCTCCTCGTCTTTCTTCACCTGGTTGTTGTCCATGATGGAGGCCAGCCTGGCCACGATCCACTTCCTCAGGCGATATACAGGATCCCTGAAGAAGACAACAAGCGGGAGGGCGGTCACTCTGCTTTCCGGGTTCACGAGGGTTCCTCGGCACTCACTGTTCAGAGTTCTCCTGGCGCTCCATCTGCTTGCGCGAGGCGAAGTTGAGCAGTTCGTCCACGCGGGGATGGAGGAAGGTGGTCCTGAGCCACGCCACGTAATTCCGCAGAGCCGCCGGCTGCAGGTGCTGCACCGTGCGCCACACGGACGGCACCACCGGATAGCCCTGATTGACAAGCGAGGAGAAGCCCACCATCACCGCCAACTGCTTTTCGACATCCTGGCAGCCTTCCAGGAAGTTCGACACATAGTTTTCCATCTCGGGTGCCATCTTGAAGCGTTCTTGTTTCTGGAAAACAGTTGAATGAGCCTTAACATTTAATGGTTACTCTGTATGCTGGGCAGGATCCACACGTAGTCGATAATACTAATCACTAGCCTTTTTGTGAATGTGGCAAATGAACTCTGCCTAGCAACAACAAAAAAAAAAAAAAATCCAAGCATCAACTTTTATAATGAAACGTGGAGGATTTGTGTCGTCAGTGTGTCTGACAACAGAAAACGGCCAATGTTACGTCCATGTTGCAGTCGTAATGTGAATGAGGAACCCAGACTAACCTGAGCAGACACCACATGATCTCCGAATTGCTTCATCACCTCCCCGGACAGAACCTCTCTTAGCTGGGACAAGGACAAAAGCGGCAAGGCGCTGCCCAACAGTCGGAAACTCATGAAGCTACACAAACAAACGCATATATAGGTTAGTTAAAATACTTCATTTTTAAAATGTTCATGATAATAAAATGCCCCAATTGCTTTAGTTGAAGTAACTCACTGCGTGGGTCCCCATTGCTCCTTCAGCATTCCCTCCACAATGGCTTTGTTCCAGAAGAGCTGGAAGCTGTTTTCCCTCAGCGAGAGCTTCAGGAGGTCCAAGGCCAACGTCGGCAGCACGCACTCCTTCTTCACGGAATGGGCGGCCTTCTTGAGTAGTTGCGTCAGCCTACGAGAGAGAACAAGGCACAATTTCCAGGTTTAGAAAAGGCTGCACCATGTGAAGCGAGCCAAGATGTGCGAGGAATTGGCAACCTCGTAAAAAGGTTTGGAATTGATGAGTGATGGCAACAGAGAACAGCACTCTGTCTAAATGAAAACCCTCAACTGACTTAAACATAGTCTCTTGGAACAAAGATGCCAAAAGATGGTTGCAAACCATTGCTTTGGTCTAAATGAAGCTCCCCAATTCATTTCAACGCAGTTCCTTGGCACCATATTGCCACAAGGTAGCGCCAAAGCACCAATTTAGTCCTAACGGCAATTCTAATTTCATTTTAACATAGATCTTTGGCACTTTCTTTGGCAAGATGGCACCCAAGTAATACTTTTGCTGGACCTGAGTTCAAAACCAGTGATTTCTGCGGGACTATAACCAAGGATCGGGTACCAAAAAAATATTGAAAAAGTTGAACATTTTGCAATCCTTACTTTCCGATGTTGTCATTGTTAATGATGTTGGAAGAGCCCAGTAGCTGCTTTATTTTCTTGGGTTGGAGAGTCCGCGGGAAGCGCTCCAGCGCCACCAGCAGTAGTTGTAGCTGCTCTGGAGTCTTGAAAGCCGAGGCCATGTCAGCCTGCAGGGCACTGAACAGGACCTCCTCAAACACTTTCTCAGGAACCTGCCAAGATACCAATACGGTGGGACTGATAAACACTGTCATGGAGTGTGTTTTAAATAGAGGAGAGAGATTTTTCTGTAAAAAAAAAAAAAAAAGTTGGAGGTGGCAGTCTCCGCCTCATTTCAGCTCGAAAACTTCATGAGAACATGAGTTGCACAAATTGAATGTCATTTTTAGCGTTACTCTAAACGTGAGCACAAAAAAAATAATCTGAAGGGAAAAAAATGCTTTCTTGTGAGTGTTGTTGGTACCTCGGCGAGGATGTCCATCATGGCCTTGTTGGGCAGGTCGTTCAGGTATTGTCGCTGCTGGGTGAGGTTTTGCAGAAGCTGCACACAACCCAGCACCACCAGCGGCTCCTGCGCGGTTGCAAAATATAACAGTTGAGCTCAGAGGTAAAACATGCAGTGGATATCCCGAAGTGAAATGCCTTTTTCACACTTCTTGGAAAGGACAAGGTTTGTCGGCATTTGTTCTGTGAAACTTTTTCTGCTATAGTTTGAATGACAAATTATTTTGTCGGTGACATTTTGCCTGTTCCATTCACCAATTTTCTATAGGGCATGAATACACCATATAGAGTATACAGAATAATACTTACTTTGAAGATGCGGCCTGACTGATGGAGAGCAAGGATTCCAAACAAGCAGCCAAAGGCAGCATTTCTGACACCTTTCTGCAGGACAAGCATAGAAAAGGTGTGTTTTTTTTTTTAATCTTCCACAGTAATCTCATCCATAAAGGGAAAAAAACCCTTTTAAAACACACCTTATTGGCTTTTAGAAAATTGTGCTTATCCTTGATTTTGTCGAAGACGCTCTGCAGAGAGAGGTCCTCAAACGTGCTCAGGAGCTGTTTAAAAAAAAAAAAAAAAAAGATTTTCACGTCACATCACAAACAGTCCCAGTCCAAAACTTTAGGTACACCCAAAATGTGGGTGCATCAGAATGTTCACCCACTTGACCCAGAGCCAGGCTGAATCCGGGTCTCGCCACCGGCCGTGTGTGAGCAAGTCCGTCCACCAACCTCTTGAGTGTGTACGTCATCTCATCCGCCTGTGGACAACAAAATGCATGACACTTGGCATAACATAAATGATTGTTTACATTTTCAGAAAATTATTTTTCAATTAAAGTCTTTTAACTCTATATATACCTATAAAATAATATTAATTATATCACTTTGAATTAATATTGTTTTTTTCATTCGTTATTTTTCAGGCAAGGTCTGAATTACAATTTCTTTTTAAGTAATATTTGTTACAAAATACAGTTACAGTACTGAAGCCTCATTTTGACAATATATAAAAATAAACAGATAATCAACAAATCAGTCTTTTATTTGAACTGGCAATTGTGGCACACATGCAAATGATGTAGATGTTATTATACACAAGGAAAATAAATATGAATAAGCCTTGAACTATATCACTGATGCTGTGGTTTGAGCCGGAGAGTAGTTCCTAAATGGTCACAATTGTTCGTGCGGAGAAAAAAAAATAAAAGATTTAGACATAGTAAAAATGGAGCATTACTATAAACAGTTAATGCTATAGTGTCGTGTTGTGTACTGAAATACGTGTTATTTAAAGCAGTCTAGAGAGGTCCATGTTGTCACCTGGTTGTTGTCTTTCAGGTATTTCAGAAGATTTTCCAAGGCGGTAAGCCGAATTTTTGCGTCATGGTTGGCCAAGTCCCAGAAGAAGTCAAGGAAGACTCGGTTCTGCTGGAGGGCGCTGGTCGGCCGGACCTGTCCGGTCGTTTTCTCCTGGAGTTCCACCATGTCCACGGACATCTCACAGTAACATGCTGAGAACACGGTGAGGAAAAAAACGTGGTTGCGTTTTTTTTTCTGTGAAGCAACTTCTTCCGGGTCGAATTTGAATGGCACAACTTTATTGACAAAGACAAAAGCTCGAAAGAGACACTTTAAATTTTAAGTAACATAAACCGAAGAGACATCAATATTTTCCTTGGCTATGCATCTAATTACTTTTTGATAATAGTTAAATCAAGTGGACTTTTAGTACAGGTGCTGGGAAGATTCTTCCTCAATTGCCTTCCGAAGCACATATGTAAAACTAATTTTACGATATTTTTATAACGTTTTAATGTACATTTTACAGGTGGCTGCATTTGCTCTATTTAGCAAACTATGTTAGCAGCATTTACAAATGTAAACAGTGACATACTGTATTTTTCTTTTATGTTGCCTGCAAGAAAAAAAAATGCATAATTTGAATATACAGTAATGGCTTCTCTCATTTATGCTTAAATGCTAAAACACTCATTACAATTACTCCTAAAACACAAGAGACATCAAAAGTCAATGATAGTCTTGTCTTGGTGGCAAGGAACTACGTTAAAGCAAATTGAGGAACTTCGTTTAAACCAAAGTAGTGCTTTGCCACGTTTTGTGGCATCTACAAGCAATTACAAACCTTTTTTGTGGGGCGTCATTTACTCACCAATTTGTGCGATTCAGGGCAGAGTTCCATTCCTACTTATTAATATTGTATACCAATGTTGTCTATTGTGCCAGTTACACTTAATACAAACAGTTCAAAGAACTGTCCAACCTGGATTACAGAAAAACTTGGAGCTGTGACAGTATTTTTAACAAGGGACAAATGCACACCAACTGTACAGTTTGGCATAAAAATATTTTTTTTAATTAAAACTCCATGGAAAGGCAATCAAACTGAGTTCAGGCATGCTTATTGGACGGGAGTGGCCAGGGCGGCATCAAGGGCACTCTGCGCGTCGCTGATCTGCTGCTGCAGCCTCTGCTTCATGCCTTGATTCTGCGCCTTCTTCAGCATATCCTGCATGTCCCTGATGGCCGCCCGGTAGCCGGGGGCGTTGTGGAATACTCGGATGGCCTTGTCACCACTGCACGCCAAAAAGCGCCCGGTGACATCGAAGCGGAGGTCCGTGATGTTGAAGCTGTGCACGCCGAGCAGCTGCTCCTCCAGCTCGCCGCTGGAAGCGTCGTACATGGCCACGTCGCAGCCGTCGCTGATGGCAACCACCCGACCGTCGGGCGACAGCGCCGCCAGGCTGCCGTCGGATGACGCGCAGCGGACAGTCTTGAGCAGGTATGGGTCTTGCTGCTTTTTATACTCGACGTTTGTGTTCCACAACTTCCACGTGCCGTCTTTGGACACTGTCACCATTCTAAAATCATGAAGAAGAAGAAGAATTTTTTTTTTTAAAAAAGCACATTAAATGACATAAATTCCTTCCTAAGACCGCTAGTCGTTTGCTACAGAACACAGTCAGGTCAACAAGAGTCGAACAGGCAGATCAAATTAATGGACTGCAATTAACTGGACTTCAGTAGGTGTAGAAAGGACAAAAAAAAGAGGAGGAAAAAAAAGTTTTACCTGTGAGAGTCATTGGAGAAGGCAAATGCGTGCACTCCGGCAGAGTGGCCTTTCAGCTCAAAGGCTCGCATCACCTCCTTAAACTCGCCCGTCTTTGCGAAGCACACCTCCCACACCTTGACGTCAGGCGTGAAGCCGCAGGATGCCACAAACCTGAGAGAGTAACCTGATTTTAATTTCCACCTCTTTGCTTGCGCAACATAAGGGGGCGGGACGGGATTACGACCTGCCACATGGCGAGATGGCAGCGTAAGAATTGGTCATCTGGTTAGTGTTAATAGATGCCAGTATGTCGCCTTTCAGGTTCCAAATGTTAATGTTGGTGTCAATGGAGGCGCTCATGATGAACTTGCCTGCAGAAAACAGCACATCGACATCACATTTAGCATTGGTGTGACCTCGGCAGGTCAATTAAAATTTTTTGTGTGTCTTACCAGTCTCCGCAATGCCGATGTTGAGGATGCTGCCCTTGTGTTTAATGGGGAAGTCATCGGAGACCGCTTTGAAGTTCATGCTGCCTTCTTGCTTTTTGCTCATTTTGAAGACGCGGATCGTGTCACCATAAGCGAGCCAGGTGATAAATGCCCTGCAGCCGAAACAATGACACACGGACAAAGCATACGAAGTGAGAGGCAGGGGGCAGAGTCAAGTCATTTTTACACCTTCTCGCCGCTGCTACGGCTCATGCAGGTACCTCAGGATCTCTGTCTGAAACTTTTTTATCAGAGTTTATCGAGACCTCTGAGGGCCTTTGTATACATTCTTTGTCCTGCTCTGTGCCACTATGTTATGGGGTCCTACATGGTGTAATTGTAAAGCCACTTCTGTCCCCGGGTTTCATCTTGAGAAAAATGATGACAGTCACATTTATGTGCCACTCAAGGTGCTTGTATGTCTAAAGGACATTAAAGCGTGCATGGCATAGAGCTTTTTAAGTTAGTTATTGTCTTATTTGCTTTTTAAGGATGCATGATTTAAAAGCATGTTTGATGAAAGGAAGCCATAAACCAGCCCGGGTTGCCAACTAATGCAACTAACCTGGAGTCTGGGCTGAAGCGCACCAGCGTAGCATGGTCCAGCTCCACGTTGGCCCTCAGACACTTGTGCTCTCGGTCGAGGAAGTCTTTAGTACTCCATATTCTCACGGTGCGGTCGTCAGCACACGACGCCAAGTACTTTCCGTTGCTACTGAAATCCAGGCATGTCACATTTCCACTGTGGCCCTGGGCAATATAAAGAAGTGCGCTTGAGGTAAAAACTTGTGGCCATTTTGTCGAGCTAGTCTGGACTCATCGTCACTCAGTGAAGAGCAATGTGAGTCGTCTACACTCCTCATCAATGTCATCTGCGCTATATGTTGTAAGGGTGTGAAAGCTTTTGGGTTTACCTTGAGCGAGGAGGCCAATAGAGGATGGTTGAAGATGTGTTGTGATGATTTGTCTTTACGGCCGCGCTGCTGCTTCACCTGCTTGGGTTTCTTTGCCGCTGGTCCCTTCAACGCGATGCCTTCAGCTGGAACCACAGCAGTTCTGAGATTTGTGACAACAGCCTTTTTACCTCCATCACCACTTCTCGAAATGGCGATGACGTGTGCCGCTGGTGATGTCTCCTATCACCTTAATCCATGACAGTGTAATACATGATTGATTATTTAGCAAAATAAATTAAGGATAGAACACGAGGTGTTGGGGTGGCGTTTTGTTGACTGTCCAACAGTATAAAATATAAATTATACCACCAACTGGAATGAAGAAGTGTTTGGTAATTACAGCAAGATGGCAATCGACACTTAAAAAGTAACGGATGAAATGAGTTCTTGAATATTGACTCTCGGCTCAACGGGTGCCGTTGGATATGATCCAATTTCGCTTCACCTGTCGTCATTCATACAACATAATCTCCGCGTCCAAATAAACTCACCGAGCATAAAATTTGTGAGTGTCCTGAGAGGGGATCGTCATTGTTTCAGTATATGCACTTTTTTTTGGCGTATCGTCACATTTTCCCAATTATCAACAGGATGTTTTTCGTCAATAAAGAGTGTGAAAGATTGACAGACAATTTCAACGCCTTGGATGGATTCCAAAGCAAAGTGTTCCATGACAAAAGGTCAGGGTTCAGTCGTTACTGCCCTTTTAAGTAACTAGCTCTTTAATATTTCGTGTGTGGACCTAAACATCATACAACCAAGGTTGTAGTAAAAAAAAAAAACAGTGAATATGAGCAAGAAAGACTATTGACAATCAAGTTGGCGTGTGCACAGCAGGGTTCAGGAAACCACGCTAAAACTAGCATTAAAACTAGGCAGCCGCTAGTCAACTCCTACCAGCACAATTGTTCGTCCGCCCGGCTTCGTCTCGTAGTTCTGCTTTCCGTTTCCCCACGGCAAAAGCGACCAAAATCACCAGAGCGCCCAATAATAAGGACAACGAGACCAAAGCAACGAGCTCCATCTCTCGTCTAGCGTTGCTTTTCCTTCCTCTGTGCCACGTAATTTGATTCACGCCGCTAACGACTATGGGATTTTTATTGTTGACGTTTAGCCGGCAGCGACGGAAAGTCGAGAGTGCGTTGTCGCCCACTGTAGGCCTGGTGCGGAACTGCAAACAAAAATATTCGAAATACTGTATTGTACTAAATTAATTTAAAGCAGTTCTCAAACTTTTTACACCATGTATTACATCCAAAAAACACCTAGCTCTCCAAGTATCACCATTATAAAGAACAGTAAAATACATGAGTGTATTTTCCCTTTCACTGCATGACTATCGCATCCAAATTATTAGCCATGAAAAAAAAAATCCCGTTTGAAAGCAAATATTTCTGAAACATGAAATGCTAATTTGTTGTACTAACTTAAAAGCTGAAAGTAACAGAATTCTAGCATATTAAATATTTCTTCAGGGAATGGAAGATAGCCATTTTAACTATGCAGTTTGGACATAAAATTTTGTGATATACTTACATATACTGTAATTAATTATGACCCCCAACATCCATCAAACCACTGCATTCTTTAGAAAGCCTCAAAATTAGCAGTTCCAATGTCCAAATTTACAAATAAGTGGTCACAAGTTACTCAACATATAAAATTATAGTTAGCATACTTATCGTTAGGATACTGTTTTTAAACCTCATCCTGTTATGCTAATAAAACTGAAAACAATAAAAATATTCACAACAGAATGTTTTGGGCTCTGAACATCCACCCAACCATTTTTATTAAATCAACATTGACCATCGGGAGCTGCACATGTGACACTTAACGAGACCCCCCCCCAAAAAAGAATTCTCATGAATATCTGATTGACAGATGATAGTGTCTGCTCTACAAACTAATTATTCAGAATCATGGATAAAATAGGAGTTGATGTGAAATGAACAAAAGTCCAAATAAAATAAAAGCTTTTTTTTTTGTCTTAACCAGCTTTTTGGTTTGTCCATACGTTTTAATTAAGTCCTCTGAGCAGCACTTCATTTAAAGTGACGCAACAATTGACAAAATGTTTATGTATTATCCAGTATTGCATGGTGAGGTGAAAACTGGATCGGGTCTGTGGGTTGTTTATGAATCACTTCTAAAAAAAAAAATCTCTTGGAGGACTTTTGGGAATGTTTGCAAAGAACAAGCACAAACTATGGCGAAGCAATCAAACCCATCTACTAAATTGTCCTTTTTGTGCAGACATTGCGGTCGCGTACACGGGGAGGCGGCAGTTAAAAAAATAATTTAAAAAATGAAAACTGGTCAACACCTTTGTGTATCCTTCTCTGTTTGCACGTGACCCTGCCATCATCTGTCCAAACTTTGCACGGACAAGGTCTGCGAAGGTACGAATCAGTCTGCGTAAAAAAATAAATTGTTTTGTCTCCATTCTCCTTTGGATCACGTCCTACAGGAGTGTCCAAAACAACAGTGGATATGATTTCACTCAATTTGTTCTTTCCCTCAACCACATGCGGATTCAGTCTTCTGAGCACAGGGAGTCATCCAGGCAGCTTTTTACATCCTGCGCCAACGAGGCAAGCCGAGGGCTTTGGTGGCAGTCTTGTTTGGAGAGACTGGGAAGCCATAACAGCAACTCCTAAATCCTCTCAAAAGTTCAACCGGTGTGAGGTTACTTCTTCCTGTTGTGCTGCCTCCGCGCTTGCAATCTCTGCCGCGCCCCGGTTGGCTTTGAGCCCGCCCCAATGGAGAAGGAAGGAGGGGAACCTGATTGGGAAAACAAAGCATTTGTTACGCAGAGTGTACACACAAACATATCATCCAACTGAATTGAAGTACTTTTTTTCTCCCTTCCAATATAAATTAGCAAAGACACTTACAAAAAAAAATTTAATATCTGTAAGAGTGGTAGAATTCAAACATTTTCCCCCATAGGCCCGACTGTTGGATGACTCTTAAGGATTATTCTGAGCAACTATCCTGTGGTGTGGGGTGTGTTAGTGATTTTTCCTCGTCAATCTGCTCAAAGAACAGTCAGGGAAGAAAATCAAAGATTAAAGATGATTATTTTTTTCCCCCTCATGCACGCAGTCTTTGTGTGTACTTGGTTTTAGGAGGCGAGAGCTTAAGAAATATGAGCCACAAGCACTGGACTAACTTTCCTGCATTCATGACCTACCAAAAGGAACAGCGTTGAAAGCCTGGACCGGTGTACTGGGACTTCCAAATGGAATTGGACCGGCGGCTGCAGCAGGGGTCTGACCGAAAGATGGTGTGGATGTGCCTGTAAAAGTCACAAACCAGTTGGGATGAGCAAGTGAGGAAACAATCTGAATTAGATGTGAGATATTAAACTCACTCCCAAAAATGCCAAATCCATGTCTATGCCTTAAAAAACTCAGAAAGACAGAGGGTGTGTATATCAAATCACAGAGAGTGTAATACATTCAATTGGTTTTATAAACTGTCACTACCACATGCTATGAACCCAAAAGTTACAACTATAGTGTTTTGCGTGCCTAAAGGGGCGGGCCCCAGTGACACCAGGAGCTGGAGTTGTGCCATCTGGTTGGTCGGCATGGAGTTATAAAACGGTTCATTGCGGGTGTTCTCATTTTGTATTGGTGTTTATTTGTCCAGTTTCATAAATGTCCATCTGCCACCCCAGCTCTTGTACCATTTCAAAACTCAAATCAAAGCAAATTGCAAGTTGGACAGTAATAACTCACCTGCAGCCCCAAAATTGAAGCCTCCCATCTGCGGCGCAGGATTATTGGCGACAGGTGTTCCGAACTGTGTTTGTGAAATGGCAGCGCCAAAGTTAAACCCGCCAGATGCTGGTGGCGCAGGGCCCGAGGGGGTCTGCTGAGGAGCCGTGCTGCCAAACGTGAAGGATGGCGTGCTCTGACTCTGAGCAGCCTGGCCGAAGCTTGGTGCCACCGAGGGTGTGGTGGTGGCGCCGAAATTGAAGGCGGTGGAGCCGCCCCCAAATGCTGGTTTGCTTGGCGTCACAAAATTGGATGGTGCTGTGGCAGCAGTAGCAGCTCCCGCAAAGTTGAAAGGCGTCGCCGAAGAGTTGGACGCAGGTGCAGTTGTTGCTGCGCTGCCCCCGAAGGTAAAGGGTTTAGGTGCGGCGGCCGTGGAGCTGAAGGTCGACTGGGGTGCCGGGGCTTGAAATGATGGCTTTCCAAAAGTGAACGTTGACTGTGTCGTGGTGGCGGCAGCAGTATTAGCAGCGGTGACTGTGGATGCGGGCATAGCGGCGGCAATCGCAAAACCTCCAAACGAAGCGGTGGTTGTGTTCTGGCTGACTGCGGTCTGACCAAAGGCAAACACCTTCTGGCTGGCGACTTGAGAGGTTGGCTGTGAAGCTCCAAATGTGAAGGCGTTACCGGAGGTTGTGACAGCGGGAGCCGTGACAGCGGCTGCGGGTGTTGGAGTTGTGGCGGCTGTGGGTCCAAACTGAAATCCTGTCGTAGGAGCTGGCGCTGATGTGGTACTCGCGCTAGCTGAGGGTTGCGCCGACCAGGTTCCGAAGATGGATTTTACAGCTGGCTGGGCTGCAGGGGTCGTGCTGGTGGTAGAGCCGATGGTAGCCGCAGCAGTGGAAGTCAATCCAGAGAAGAGAGGCGAGGTAACAATGCTGCTTGTTGAGGCACCAAATATCGTAGACGTTAAAGAAACCATCGCAGATTTTGCAGTAGAGGTTGTGTAAGGTGGCGGCGCAAAGCCGCTCCCTGCGGCACAAGAGATGGTTGTGGATGTTGTGGTGGAGGTTGTATTAGGTGGTGTAGTGAAGCCAGCCCCGGCAGGGCTACTTCCAAAAATTGGCTTGAAGCTTTGGAGTGGGGGTTTGCTCTCTGGGGCTGTTATAGTTGATGGGGTAGAGGTGGTGGTGGCGACAGCAAAGATGGGTTTGAACCCCGAGGCCAGCAGAGGGTTAGAATGAATGAGTGCCGCAGTGGTGACCGGTGCGGGGGTAGAAGCAGAGGATGCGGCAGGAATGGCATTCTGGCTCAATGCTCCGAACAAGCCCGCTGCTGGTAGTGACGGAGTGCTACTGATGGGCTTGGAAACCTGGCCCAAGACTTGAGTAAAGGCAGAGGGCTGATCCACGCCGGCAGAAGGGGGCTGTGACTGGGAGGTGGGCGATTGCTTCAGGACGTCCGTTAAGGTCAGCGTTTTGAGGCTTGAGATACTGGGGCGTTGCAGCAAGCCCAATGCAGGAACTGTTGACATAAGTACACAATTAGAAAGTAAGACATACTTCAGCAATAGTGTGCATCAGAAATGAAAGAGTTTAATTTCAACCAAAACAAACCCGGAAACATACCCAAGACATGTTCCACCGATAAACCTTTGATTTTGTTTTTTGACGCCGGGTCCTACCTGTGGTGGTGCTGGCAGCAGAGGCAGAGCTCAGAGGACTCTTCATCTTCAGAGCCACCAGGAGTGGGTTCGAGACTGCAGGGGCGGGACTGGGATCCAAGTTGATGACCGGGGAGGCAGGGCTGGAGGTTTTGGGCAGAGGGGCCGCCAACAGGCTACTCAGAGTGAGGGTGCTGGAGACGGTGCTGGTGGTCGACGAGGCGGGCACGGTGGAGGTCAATGAGGGGGAGGACTTCTCGGGTTCGGGAACTAGACAGGGACAACTCAACATGCTTAGGCTTTAAGATGGGATTCAAAGCTTGAAATATACACACAAAGTTCCCATTAAAAAAAAAAAATCTGGTATCGATGTTAAACTGGTCTGGTATTAGACAGGCACTGTAAATCCAACCTTAGGTACTTCAATTAAAAGTCTTCTTCATCAACTCACCAGGTGTCTCCAGGACCTTTTGAATCTTGCTGATGGCAGCCTTCTTCTCTTCATCCAGATCCTTCACAGTGATAGTGTAACCCAGCTCAGGTGGCGGGGGCTGCAGATCAATAAGCACAGAGAGTTACGCGGGGGGGAGAAAAAAAATACACGCAATTTAAAACTCTTTCCAGGTTATAAAATATCATAGTCATTTGCTTACCAGTGAGATTTGGTCATCCCGGTTGCTGGAAACCAGCTGGATCTTACGTTTTCGCTTTCCACCGCTACCGGCGGAGTTTGTTGAGGTTGTGACTGGGACTTTGAGGACTGGAGTCTGTTTGGCTATAAGTAAATAAAACATTGAATACAAAGTATGCTTTTAAAAGGCATGACCCCAGAGCAGAGATGGTGAACACTTACATGTATCAGGTGCTTTGTCCGATGCGGCCCTTTCTGATCGCACCGAGGACGCCGAGCTGGGGGAAAGGCCGTCATCCTCTCTGGTTAAAGAAAAGGGCCATTTATAAATTGTTACATTCACTCAAAAGTGGAGGCTGAAACGTATATACGCACCTCTGTTTCTTGGCAACTCCATCTGGTGTCTGGGACCGAGACGAACCTGGGCTGGAAATCGGCGAGCTCGGCGCAGATGGCTTCTTAAACTTTCAAATGCAAGAGTATGATTAACAGTTAAATTTGCTTCAGCCACATTGAGCCAAAGCAATTTTGTAGATTTTAAATGGATACATCCACAGTTCTTAACAGAGGTAAAGAAATAATGGTTAAACACCAGATCAAACTAAAGAAATAATCATATTTTTGATTCATGAAAAAGCAACAGGGAAACAATGAAGGTGTCAGTCCAAATTTAAATCTACATTGATTGTAATAATATTTGAAAGCTGCCGCTCTGAAGAGGATACAGAAACATGTTTGGTGTTTAGTCATTACTTGCATGAGGCCCACTGTAGAGCTGTAAGAACTTTGGATGGGGTTTCTCTTGGAACCCAGCGTCCCTCTCGGTGCATGACCTCCACTGGCAGAGCTGATGGAAGAGGTGCGGGACCTCTTGAAGGTGGAGTCCTCTGCCACTGTGATCATCCCTCGTTTTAGGCTTCCGGGCCTAGATAAATAAATAAAGGGTCAAACAGTGCTGTGAAACAACAATCGAAGAAAGCAAAAGGTGTCGTAGACTCACTTTGGGACCAGTTGTGATGGCGCTCCATTGGGCAAGAGGGGCTCAAAAGCTGAATGAGCGCTTCCTCCACTGTCGTTACGCCTGCGGAACAGATTCAAAGCATGTGCATCTCCCCAAAAAATGATGACGACTTTGGCCCATGATAATTGTGATATTAATTTAGAATACAATGCGGTTACTGTAATTTTTTTCCAGTTGTTAGCTCGCTGTCCACTCCGATGGTTTGCCTTCCATCTCAAACAAGCTCGCTCTCTAAGATACTCACCGCACCCCTAGACCGAGTAGCCAATCACATTCGTACACTATATTCTGCCTTTTCTTTCAGGATGGAGTATGGTAGATTACATAACTGTTGCTTTTTTTTTTGTTTTTGTGTTTTGTTTTGTCACTTTGTGTTTGTTGTTACGTCGTGTGGACCTGATGTGAACTGTTTTCAACATTTTTGGCCATGACATTCGTCAAAGAAGAAGAACCTGTGCTTGGTGGTTGCGCCTTCTCGGTGGCACGCGTGTACCAGCACTGATTTTCATTGGGAGGAATGTCGGCGCCATTTGACTGTCGTTGCTGGACAGCTCCGGGGTGCTTGTGTCTTGCGCCTAAAATAGGCAGCATTTTCACAGCCCCGCTTTGTTCAGCGAAAAGGTCGATGCTGATGGGACAGTCAGCGGCTGGATGGATGCATGGCTTGAGGAGCCGACGATGAGAAGAAAGGAGCGTCAGCGCAGAGCGCTGATGCGTATGTGGAACTGGGAGTCGCGGCTTGGAATTGACGCGGATTTACATGGGACAGAAGAGAGCCAATCTCTTTTTTTCGTTAATGGATGCTACAGCTTTTTGTTGCTTTCAAGCTTAGCTTGTAGCAGACGTGTGCACATTTCAGCATGACGTCTTTAATCCACAGGTGAAAAGGACACTTTGATTCGCTCCTCTTTCATCTATTACTGCTTCAAACAACAAAGTGAATGGAGGAAAAGTGGTTAAGATGGCACGACTGTCTGTTTTGTCTGTTGTGTTGTATTATTTTGTCATTTTATGTTAAGTGTTCTTTTGATGGCGGTCTTGTCTGTTTAAGAGGGAGAAAATTTCATCTGTGCTGTATGAGCACATTTGACAATAAAGTTGTATTTGATACTTGATACTTTCTACAAGACATCCATAGTGTTAATGCCAGGACACGTGATTGGAGAGTCATTGCAGAGCGGTCAAGTCGCCATGTTGACGAATTGGAACAACCCTTAGTAGCAAGTTTTAGCGTAACCTCTTAGTGTAAAGTTCTGTTTACCTTCTCTTGCTTCTCTGCTCAGCATTAAAGCTTCTGTCTGCATCATCGACCTCTCTCTTGCGGCTATCCTTCAACACCTTGAGGACGCTCTCTCTGGAGCAGGGGTCCATGGGGGCCCTGGGCACCGCGGCGCAACTTAGGTGCTCCAAACTAAACACAGGGGGAAAAAAAAATAAATAAAATAAATCAGTAACAGTCAGTAATGACTTACACAGCAAATGTTTTCCTAGTTCCTGTCCATTAACGTAACAGTAAAAAATGGTGAATAAAACCTGGCGCTGTTGTGGTCGGGCCGGGCGATCTTGACAGTGACGGGGCTCTGAGTAGCCGGTGAATTTCGAGGCGTGAGGATGCTCTTCTTCCTGAAGCCGTCCCACCTGACGGGCGGCAGGACCCCCAGCGAGGAGGCGCCCGGCTGATGAAGCGGATAGTGCCGCTGTGGGGTGATAGTGAAGTGTCCCATTGGGCCAGACTGCTCCCTGAAACAATGAAGGAATGGAATTAAACCCTCTTTATTTAAAATTAGTTGACATTATGCCATGCAATTTTACTTAATTGGTCCAATTTTATTCTTATTATTTTTTTGACTAAGAACAAAATATCTGTGGGTTGAAGTTCATCCATCTCCGTTTGTGGCGGAGAGCTACGACTGTGTGTTCTTAGGAAGATTTGCTGGAACACCTGATCCACAAAAACACTCCGATTAGAAGTGGTCAGACATTGCAGAAATGTCTCTAAACACTGATCCACAAAATCCAATTTTTACAATAGCTTCATTAACATGTGTATCTCAAGAAAAAGAAAAGAAAAAGAACTGCCACGACTAGGGATGGGCAGCTTTGGTTCGCTTTTTTAAACTAATGGAGAGGATCATAGTAAGAGCCATTGCTCCCGGTACTTTATACTGCAGTTGTACACTAACAATAAGCCAAAATTTAGAGGGTGCTTTCGTCTTGTATACTAGGTGTACCGAATAGAGTGTCCGGCGAGGGCACTGTAGTTCATTGAAACAGACATACCCGGCAAATGACAGCCTCCGGTTCGGGGTGCAGACAGCATGATTGGGTCTGGATAACTTTTCCCGCAGTTGCTCACAGGGGTTGCGGACCACTCTGGGCCTCCCAAAATCGCCAGTCGGACCTTCCGGTTTGCCAATGTAGCTCCCCATGAGAAAGTCCCCGGGGCTAAAAAGAAACGTGTCGCTAGCTAAGTGCCCCCCGCGATAGATCGCAGCGTCGGCCCGTCTTTGTCTGAAAGCCTCCAGTGACGACCCGCGTGGCTCACGTCTGCCGACGTCGGTCTTGGTCCACCGCCGCGACACCACCGACACGTCGCTCACCCACCAGTCCCAAAAGCGGCGCAGGTAGCCAGCCCGAGCATTAAATCCAGCCCGAGGATTGAGGCCTAATCTGGCGGGAAGCGGCGTTCTGCGGCGCAGAAGGGACGCACCTCCACAAAGGGCGAGAGTTAAAATAATGTATAGAAAAGAGGGGATGAAATAAAGGGAGAGACTAACTATGCCTAATGCAGAAAGAAGCACTATTTTTTTCTCTCTAGGTAACATGGCGGCAGCGCGCCCATCATGCTGCTCTCCACAACTATTGCTTCTTCTGCATCGGCTACTGGGCGTTTGACTTTGACGTTTGGTACGACACCGCCAAACATTGAAAGATGGTGGTATTACACTGACAACAGTATAGCGTTCCCTCACCATATCCCGGTTTACTTTTCGCGATATTTAAAAAAAGTGCCATGTATCTTCGGCAAAACAGATTTGATAAAATAAGTACTCTTCATTTTGAAATCTATTATGTATAAAGTAATAGAAATGATCATTTTAAACAATTATCTTTCCATTCATCAATTTTCTATACTGCTTATTCTGTTGTGGCGAGCTCGAGGCTACCAGATGGCACATAACAGACACACCCATTCACCCCATCATTAAATCAGCGTTTGAGTAGCTATGGGTTTTTCTCTCTCGTTAGTTTTTATTTCATTTTTACTTTTGTTTTATTTTTTTTTCAGTGTTTTTAGCGCCGTTTTTTTAAATGCTTCATTTTAGTTTTATTCTTATTATTTTAATGTATGGAGCATTTGCCAATTAGATGAAAAATGTCACTGTGTATTGTATAATAAAATAAACTACAGTTCTCAAAAAACTGTTTGACTTTCCTTCCTTTTGTACAGACATTTCACCATACCAAAATAAATACATCTGAACCTAACTCCAAAAGCTCATGCATCACATTTTGTTTTCTTGTATGGCCCTCAGTTTATTTTGATTAAAAACTGCAATGGCTCCTGATTGGGTTTCACCAGCTAAAATTAAAGTTCTCGTTCCATTGCATCTCTCCTGTCTTTTTCACTCAGTGGTGACATTTGCACTTCGAAGGTCTTGTCAAACGCGCTATAGTCTACACGGAAGGCGCCTTTCTCCAGGGATATGCACGACTCAAAGCGGTGGCCCCACAGGAGCTCGTCCTCCGTGTATGACGTTCTGGCCTGGCATGTCATGCCTGAGAAGCAATGAGAAAGAGGACATGTTCTGCAAAAGTGACTTTTTAATTGGTAATTTTTACCGCTCTTTGCAGAGGATAAGGAACATATGCCTGTTATCTGGTTAGTCGTGTTGCATCACTGTTTATTTCGAAATATCCATTGCTTAAAAACTTGTAGATAGACTGGCTGTCCGGGATGGATAGAAAATGGATTTAATGAAGTACTAACCTGAGGCTTCCACGATACCCTCCAGGATAACGATGATCTCAAAGCTCTCCCTCTTCAAACGCTCGGCCCCCACGTCCCAGAAGGGGCTGCTTTGGTTGATGACATGGGTGATGGTCTGGGGCTCCACCAGCAACAGTCGGTCTCCACCCGTGTCGTACCCCAAATTCAGTTCGGATTGCTCAAGCGGGATGAACTCCCCCTCTTTGGTCTGCCTGGATTTGATGAGCTTGGCCCGGATCTTGGCGTCCACCATGTGGCTCTCTCTGAGATCCCCAATGCGGAAGAGCATGCACAGCTTCTCGTCTCGCTCGCATATGACGCAGTGTTTGCTGAAGATCAGCGTCTGGGCCCTCTGTTGGGGCCGGGAGATTTTGACAAACATGCAGCCCACCATTAGCGCATCGATGATGGAGCCCAGGATGGACTGCACCATCAGGAGCACCACACCTTCCGGGCAGTTGGCCGTCACCATCCGGGAGCCGTAGCCGATGGTCCTCTGACTCTCCAGCGAGAGCAGCAAGGCGGACAAGAAACTGTCCACGTTTGCGTAGCACGCTTGCCACTCTCGGTTGTGCACATGGGCAATATCGTCTCGTAACCAAGCACCCAGGAAGTAGATCACGCCAAAGACTAACCATGTGAGGATGTAGCACATGGTGAAGACGAGAAGGAACCAGCGGTACTTCAGGTCCACCAGCGTGGTGAAAATGTCCGAAATAAACCGACTTTTGTCCTCGATAGGCCCCAAGTTGACCCTGCACTTGCCGTCTTTGGTGATGTAGCGTTGACGCTGGCTGCCAGCGGTCAAGTGCGCGGAGTGCGCGTCGCCTAAGATCTTACGCCGCTTCCTCTCCGTCTTTGACCCGTTCACCGTCTCGGTTGCTTGAATGGAAAAGGTGCTCCTCCTCGTGGAGCCTCGCGATTGCCACCTGGAGCTAAAACTTTTAAGCTTGCCGCCTTGGAGCAAACGCTGAGGCTTGGGGGCCTTCTCGATGGTTTCAAGTGGTGCCATTTTGACGGTCTGCTGCTGGAAGGACATTGCAGCCTGACTGCTGACCTGGGGCTCCTCCTGAGAGGGGAGTGAAAGGGATGAGAAGTGAGTCAGGTTGAGGGTTAGGAAGGTTCTTTTAGTGGAGGGAATGTTAGGAATAGGCGCAGTCTTTAATGGAACAAAGGGACACGAAAGCATCAAGAGATCTCTCATACCTTTTTTCACGGCCAATGCCCGAAATAATCACATTTTGCCCAGAAAGTCGCTATGACACCTGCTTTCGATTTAGGCTCATTTGGGTAAATTCCCTGAGGAATTGGTTCTTGAGACCTTTTGGTGAGCCTATCAAGACGGACTACGAGGATTGGATTAGCCAACTTTGGTCGTCAAAATCCACAGCCATGAAGCGGGGTAAAATATTAAAAACTAGTATGGTCTACAAACAATTCCAACTTTCCATATATTTAATAAATAATTGTTCAATATAACAAGCAAACATATGAGAACACAATACAAGACAAAACCATACCTGATCAGGGATTGACTGAAATTGCGGTGTGGCCTGATGTTTTGCGGCAGTACTCTCGATCCTGACAGGTCTTCCGTCAAGACTGTCGCACCGACCGCTTTGGACCACAATTTCCTTGCCGCACATCACAGTGGAGATCATCTCTGAGGGGCTTGGAAACGCTCTGACCAGATTGCTTTGGACAATGAAATGAAAAGTGTCTCTTGCTGGCCTTTAAGGAACAAATGCCAGATGGTTCAACAGCCTGAGCTGTGATGATTTATGTCTCAGTATACATTGAGGCTTCATCTGTGGGAAGTGGTCCCATCCAGTGCCCCACCACACTTTTCACAAGTGGGGGATTATCCTTAATCCTCAAAATCCAATGGAGAAGACCCAAAGAAAAATGTTAGATTGGAAAAGATTACATGACAGTTTGCCAGGAGGCTTAAAGTACGCTTTGTCCAGATGTGGCCACTGTCAATGTTTTCCTATTAGTCACAGAGTAACTCAACATACAGAACAGTGGTGACTTGAGATACGAGTGACCAGACTGTTGAGTTGCTGTTGGTTTTTTTGGAAACATGAGCATCATTCGCCCAATTTTTGGGTTCGACTTGCGATCGGAAATTTGAAACACCGTGTGGTGGGGGCGAACTCAACACATTTCACAACAAGCAGCAGTTTGGGAGAAAGTGAACAATTTAGTAAGTCTGCTATGCTTCATGCTCAGTGTGCAAAATGCCAGTCTAATGGACAGCATCGGCATTGGGGTGTTATAACCCTTTAAAACACAAATCTATGAACACAAGATGTATGTATATCGCAATATATAAAATATAACACTCAAAGCATATATTTTTTTATCCTCTTTGAAGAATGACTCAGACGCACACCGACACACTGTACATATATACACAAACAGTATGTAACCCTGCCTGTGAACAGATGGCGGTCCAGTGGTTACACAATCGCAAGGGTAAATACACAAAGCTATGCGATGAAGGGAGCCGGCGGGCGACAAGTGTTTGTGTAATCTCTACTGGAATAATTGCGTTAAGTGTGCACGAGTATGAAACAATCTACACGATGATGACAACCAGTTTACACCTGCGGCTACGAAATTGAGAAATACAATTTTATCTTCACATTTTTTTGTTTTTAAACCTTTATGTGAAATGAATTGGATTTAAATCATCTTTTGTAGCAGTAATCAGAGACACATTCTTGAGAAGCGTAACCCGTGCGACCTTGTGCTGACCTCTTACCATCGTGACTCCAGAAAAGCACCTAATTGGAAAAACGTGCCACGATCAAACAACCTGGTATCGATTTGAAGTTTATTCTTCTGTGCGAGAGAAACAATTGACAGCTCGTAATTCATGCCTTCCGTCTTTGTCTTTGGTTGTTTTTCCTCGGGCGTGATCATTTTTTTAGCATATCAAATTAGAGCCACAAGATGGGGCCAAAGATGCTCCCCCCCACCCCCCAAAAAAATCACGTTTCAGACTTTGGGTTCAGATGTGCCTAATGTTGTGGCTTAGTCTGTACAAATCGGACAGAGAAGGGAAATGAAAGTTTTAAAAAAAGTGTTTCAGTCTTTCATTGTGGTCGTTTCCTCCTCCAAACCTTTATTTGATTTTGGTCATAGCCAGGGCTCTTCTTTCCGTGTTCTGGAACAAGGCTCGGATTAAACTCTTCACCTCTGTGCTTGTGAACTCCAACGCCAGAGGACCTTTACTGTCTGCCCACCTGAGGAGAGAAATCATACGTATTGTGGTGATCCACAAAGGAGAGACCATTGAGGAAAGGCAGGGAGTTCTCATGTTTCTCGGTTCAATGGGATGATAGACTAGGAAGGTGTTGAAGGTGAGTAGCTTCTTGCTTGTTTCACTTCGCAGGTTCACATGGTATGATTTGTTCGTTGGGGTTTGTCAAGTCTGTACCTGTCAACAATCTCCTGGAGGTTGGCACGCAGGATGATGACAAGCTCCTTGAAGGTGTTCCACTTTTTGACATAAAGTGGTACCTCCTCCTGATACTTCTTGTTTTTGTGCTCGTCAGTCAGCGGTACAAAGACCAGCGGGCCCTCGTCGATGACCGTCTGGCAGAGCGTGTGCAGGTGCTCGCCGTCCTCCGAAGAGATATCCTGGAGTCGGAGAAGAAAAAAACAAAAACAACCTTAATCCTTTATAGGCAGCAACCACGACTACTAGATAGCTTAAAATAAGGCCGCCCATCTCTAAAGATTTATTTGTGAAATGAACATTGTTTGTTTCTTACGCGATACACTAATTTCTCACGTGAAATGTAGGAATATGAGTTTCACTTGTTGAATTGAACTCATCAACTGGGAATATGCTCCGGCTGGTAGAAAATGGACAGACGGAACAACTAACCTCCAGGATCATGATCTTGGCAATGATTTCCATGATGGCCGTGTTCAGGAGGGTCCCCATGGCTTTGCAGTAGATGCCGACCGGAAGGACATCCTGCCACACCGTCCCCAGCTGCTTTAACTGATGGATCACCTGCAATCAACCACGTGGACACCGTGTTAATACAAGGGAGAGACTAAAAAGCCGTAGACCCCTTCCCTTCTCCCCACGCACCTGCCTCACGGCCTTGCTGGCTGCCGTGTAGTTGTCAGGGTCATCCAGGTTGCAGAAGTTTTGAGCGGTGGAGAGTCGCTCCAACAGCTCTGCCCTCTGGATGTTCAGCTGTGTAAGAAAGCACTGAGCGCCTGGATAACACGCAAACGAAAAAAGGAAAGTGGCATTTAGACCAGAGGCGGCCAGATTGTTGTGCTCAAATGCCATACTCGATTTTTAAAATGGACAGATGCAAGTCATTTAAGCTTGAGTTTTGTGACTTGTTTTCTACAAAAGACAGACGTTGCTCATCCTTGTGGCTAAAACGAGAGCCAGATATATCAGGGAAGTAACTGGGACACAATGTTTTGAGTGGAGTACCTCAGGGAAGTGTTTTAGGGACCATTGTTTTTCAACGGAACCCTCATTGTCTTTGTTGCAAGATGTTAAAAAAATAAAAATGGCAAGCAGCTGTGCCAGTTACATCTGATGCTCCAAAATCCACCCCAGTAACAAAGCTGAAGACATTTTAAGTGGACCTCTGAGTCTCCTTCAAATGCCAAGACAACGTTACCTAATTTCCTGAATCCTGGCACCATGTCGACAAAGGTGACCACGCCCTGGCTGAGTGGCTGCGGCAGGTGGGGTCTAAAATGGTGGCCCAGGGTGAGGAGGTGGTGGGCAAGGTACATGCAGTTGTTGTGCTGGATGGCCGCCAGGTGGGGAAACTTGAGAAGGTTCTCTCTGGGGAGAAAGAAGATAACAGAGGTGTGCAATGTAGACAAAAAGTGACATCCTGATACAGGTCAATTCATATCCTGATACTGTATTTTTCCTTAAAATCACATGAAATCTATGGCAATTTTTCTTTGGTTTCTTTCTGGTAAACCAAAATTTGACAAGTGCAAGGAATAAATCATACTTGTGATATGTCGGCACAACATCGTAGAAGAGTTGGAAGATATTTCGGACGGTGAAGAAAAGCTGGGAAGCACTGTGGAGGGAAAAAAATGGATACTCAAACACCTTTTTATTGAGGTGATTCACACGGGACAATTTTGAACTGCAAACACAGTAAAATGTTTCATTTTGAAGTGGGAAAATGTGACAACACTGACCAGATACTCATTGTTTAACAACAATATGAATTGCTGACGGAATCACAACGTTGCAGTTGGAAGGAGCGACAGTCAGAACACACCATTGTGCGGAACTTTTGATAGCCTCGCCCAGCGTGTTGAGAGCCAGCTCCATCAGCTGCTGCACCGACTCGCTGACGCGACACGCCGGCAGACACATGCTCCATGCCGACAGCTGACTGGCGTTCTCCAGGGGGGTGGCCGCCGGCTCGCTCGGGGCTTCCTGCTTCACCAGCGAACACGACTCAGGAACAGGAAGCTTGGAGAGACGTAGCTTGGACTCAGGCGTGACCTTAATGGAATAAAATGAAATGGTTTTATTCATCGGATAATGTATGGTCTTCTCTGTGGATATATGCATTTTAAATAATACCTCAATCATTTATTGCAAATTGCAGACTCCCTAGCTACGGTTCACAGAACCAAGTGTGTGACGTACAAAAAAATAAAGCGTCAAATGCGTCGTACCTTAATGGTGTTGTGCAATTCAGACGTCATGAGTTTGCGTGCCGCCACGATGACGTCCTTGCACTTCTTGCTGGCGAAGTGACAGTTAACGTCTCTGGCGTATTTCAGCAGGTCTGTAGACTCACCCGGCAGAAACTCCATCTCCTTAAGAGCCGTCTCAAACTCTTCCGTCTCCATGATAACCTGTGACAAATAAATACAGGTCGCATGACGAGTTGCGAGCCGAATATGAGATGAAAAAAAGGAGAGTAACGTGGCGTACGATGTTGTATTTTTCCAGTTGGCTGCTGTTGGTAGGGATGGAGTAGAGCAGGCACTCGTGGATGATGCATCGGGAAAGCTCCTCCCATATCAGCTCTCCAAAGATGGTCGACAGCTTTTTATCGTTAATTGTCACATCTAGAGGAAAAACAAAACGGGCATAAGGGGTTGGATCACATTCAACTGTGGTGCAGATTTGGGAGAAGGAGGAGATCTTTGCAGGATTTGGTTTTCCCCAAAATAATAAAGTGCCGTTATCCATTTATTGTCAACACATTTTCTACACATCTTAACTTAATTAAGCAAAACATTTTGTACTACTTTGATTGTGATGATTCATATTATAATGTATTCATGCTTCCACATCAAACCTTTGTGTATTTGACAAAAATATATTTTTATGATTAGATGTCAACATTTTCTGAAACAAAAAAAAATATATTGTTGAGTGCATTATAGTTTTACTGCTGATCCAAATACGTTTTGGCGGATGTCTACCCTCTACTGCGAGCCATGCTAGTTCTTCCAGCGCGTGACTTACTTAGTAGGTTTGAGTGAAGCGTCTTGAGCAGCAAGAGCAATTTGCTATAGACCTGCGACGGAGCGGCGCGCTCCTTTTGAGATCCCTTCAATTGCTCGAAGGTCAGGACGATCCCCTTTCCCTGCTGCTCAGACACCAACACCGACAGAAATGGGTGCATCACCACCGGCTTCAACATGTACTTCAAGAGCACCTGACCTGAAACACACAGCAGCAGCAGGTTCAATTGCCATCTTTGATTTTTTTTTTTTTAAGTGCTACATAAATAAAGGCAAGTTGGAGATATGAATTAGCATTAGCGTCCGATAACAAACTTGACCGCTCGGTGAAGTTGTCAGCACAGTGGCGGTGTCGGGGTATTTGTGGTTTGGTGATGCATTCATTCACCACATACACGCAGCGTAATGTATGAGATGTTGCCTCGTCGCGTGTATACAGGGGGGTTTCTACTTCCCGTTTTAGTTCCCGTTGGCTTGATAGGACTGTGCACAAATGACCGACTGGAATATTTTGTGACTAGTGACCATATGTGCTGTTTGACAAGAAGGAGCAGTGAGTAAAGATACAGACTGACGGATCAGCTCTTTCTGCTGGCATGATCAATGGAGGAAATGTATTGCCACCCGAATTGGTGGTTGACCGTTGAGGTATAGTCTATATCAAAGACATGGTGATTGTTTGTATTGCTGTTTGCTTTCTCACTGAAGAGTTTGATCTTGTGCTGAAGGTCTCCCTGGATGGCCAAAGCTTGCAGGACGCTGCACAGCACGGCAGGTGGTTCTGGTTCACTGTCCTTTTCGGGTGAAAGGCATAGGCACAGCTCCACCTTCAGGAAGGAGTCCATGCCTGCAGGGCCTGTGGGTACAAGTTGAAAAGAGAGGGGGCGGTGTCTTTCTGAAATGCCCCAACAAGCCACAATTTGGTATCAAAGCACTATCTAATCAGGACAGTAGTGCATTAACTCATTACCCATTTGGAACACATAACATTCGCAAATCAAGGTAAAGTCTCCCATTGAAATGAATGGAAATGCAATTCATCCTTCCCAGGCAAAAAAATAAAATACAACTTATATTTTTGCTTTTTATCAGGATTTGGTTGAAACACTCTTACCAATCTGTTGTTTGTTTCTCACCCTTTAAGGACGGTAATTTCCAGATGATGAGGCGCTTCCATTCATCTCCCAGATGATACATCAGGTTTTCCTTCTGTACTGTCAACTCTGAGCTAAGCGTGCTAATAATTGGAAGCTGCATCGTTTTGCAGCCTTTGAGAGATTCCACGCTTGCTCTCGCCTAGGAGAAACAAGAATGACCATGACAAGCGATTTTTATTTGGTAATCTTGTGTAGGATGTCAGTGGATTGTGCAAGTGTACCTAATAGGTTGAAGAGTGCATTTGGTTTAGTCGTATTACGTACGCTTTTCAGCTGTTTAGCGGCATCCACATACTTCTTTTCTTGAAGGGCTTTGTTGAATTTCTCCATTGCATTGTGAAACTAAAAGGTGGAGACATTATGAGTGTCAAGAACAAGTGGATTGATTGGGGTTTTTTTTTCAGCCCTTTGAGATTTGTATTTGAGTAATATTTGGAAATATTCTACTAAATTTTGCTTAGTGAGACAGTGTGCTGCTTACATCTTTGAGGTGTCCGAGAATAGTGATGATGATTGTGTTTTTCTCCAGCTGCAGCTTCAACTTTGTATACTCAGCCACGGCAGAATCAATATTTAGTTGAACCTGTTTTTAAAAACAGTGACAATGTTACAGTGCAATGACCAGTGTTTTTAATTCTTCTAACCTGATTTCATATATATATACCTCTGTCTCAATAAAATCTTTAAGGTCGTCCATCTCTTTGGAGACCTCGTCAACCTGCACCATCAGGTCCTCAGATGCTTGCAGACTTGGTAGGAAGTCACTATATCGCTTGTTTATCATGCCACATACTTCTTCCTGTGAATTGGAAGTAAAACAAGTTTGCAATGGGATAAAATGAAGCCAAATTCTCTTATGCACAACCTCAAACTCTTATTTATCATGATTCTTTTGGTCTCAGATGTCTCATTGGATCAACATGTATTGGTCTTGTTGTGTTGAATGACCAAACAAATTATGAGGCCAGAATGAGACAGATGTGTGGGCTGTATGTGAGTCAGATAATTTAGATGCAGCTCTGAACCTCTTTAAATCTTCTTGCAAACAAATGCACTCTTGCCAACTTATAGTCATATTCAATAAAAAAAAAAAAGCTTCGCATTCGAGTTGCATATAGAAAGCTTGCCAGCATATTATCTTGTCAACACATCACATTGGGTAATCGCTGTAAAGAACGTGTACATATGTAATTGGTAAGTCGTAATATTTATAGTAAAACAGGAGCAGGAGCACATTTTCTTAACGCGACGGTTATCACTGAATACTCCCCCAAACTTTTAGCAACTTAGCATCACGTTAGCTAATGCTTTGGCTAGCGTGGCGCTTTACCTTTGTATCTTCTATCTTGCGCGACATTTTGCTGATTTTACTGGACAGGTCCTCTTTCTCCAGTTTGCCAGAACTGGCGAGGACTTCGGTGACAAACGACGACATTCCGGGACGCAGGGTTATGTGAAAAAAAAAAATTCCAAGATTTTTTTTTTTTTTAACTAAAACTATGACAGATCAGCACAGCGCGCGCCAGGCGTTTGATTGGCCACGCAGCGAGTCAAAGCAAAAGCCCCGCCTTTTCCTCTCTTAGTCGTTCTCATTTGATCGCAACATGAACCGCTTCCGCCTCTAATTTACATTTAATACGGACACATAAAACGTGATTTATATCAAACCGTATATATGTATAAACTGCATGATAATCGCGTATATTGAATGAATTAATGATTATGATCAATTAATCTGGGTTACTTTGATCAATTCTAAATTCATGTTGTTATAATACTGATTTATAAAATATTAAGTAATGAGAACTGGGTCATCCACGGTATTATTATTATTACTTAGGTAATAACTAACGTGGGTAAAGCAGTGTTTTCAATGGTGTCCGAAAAGGGTCAAAATCCATTGGCAAAGTCTCTCTCTCTCTCTCTCTCTCTCTCTCTCTCTCTCTCTCTCTCTCTCTCTCACACACACACACACACACACACACACACACACACACACACACACACACACACACACACACAAAGATTAACAATTGTGTTAAAAAAGAAATAACGCTTAGCACGAACTATCCAATAATTTTGAAAATAAATCTGTTAATAATATCGTTCAATAGGTGGCAGTATTTATTCTGACATAGGGTAAACCAAAACAGAAGAAGACTCTCTGCTCGTCACTATGGAAACTGCTGGTTACTCACGCTAGCTTTTACTACCTTCGTTTATTAATTGCTAAATTGGTATTTATAGTTTTGAGTGGAAAACTTAGCCAGCTCGGTGACTTACCTAGCTCATTTGTTGAAGAAAGAAATCAGTTGTGGCGGCCGGTGCTCAGGAAACTAGACTGCTAATGAAGTAAATATCGATGGCATCGTGCTAATATTCATAAGTAATCCGTCATGTCAGACTGGTGTAACAGTGACATTGGAGAGGCTGTCTACCGGTCTCTGGATGCTATCAAAAACCTACGGATAAGGTTAGTATTCGTGTGAAAGTTAAATTGTGTGTTATGCTATCTAGGCCCGTTTTATCCGAATTAGCAGCAGCATGCACTATTCACAAAAAGTTGAGGATATTAGGCCCTTCGGGTAAGTTTTAGGATGAATGCACGAGAAAAATACAATAGGTCCTATTCATCGTATTTACATTTTGACATGAGACCAACAGGACACCTAACAATTGATCTGCAGTATCGTAAACAGAATGTTCTCAGAGGGAAGTTGCCACAGATCTTACTGTCACAGTGCCATCAGAAGGTTGCAAAAGAGAGACTTGCGGATTCACAGAAAGCCAAGTTACAGTATGCGAAAAGTACTGAAACGCTCAGCAGTGGACATGTGTATTCAAGGCTTTAGAGAAGGTCAAATGAATTTCACTTGTAAAAGTTACTGCATTTTAGTTTCATCTATTTATGTCCAATTAAAGGGTGTCCTTAAAGAGGGTGACCACCACAGCGTCTCTCTCCCAGCAACTCCAGCAACAAGTTCTGTCCCAGCACGATGGAGGAGTCATTGAACTGGTACCCCTCACCTCGCAAGCCCAGCCTGGTGAGAGAAAGTGTATCATGTATGGTGGCCTCAGAATTCTTCGAATAGATGACAACCTGACATGTTGTTTTTGTCACCAGGTGATAACGAGGAGGACGTCGTCATCGGCTGGCAGGAAAAGCTTTTCAGTCAGGTAAGAACTCCACTTCACAACGAAAAACGGCGGCACAGTTATTGAGTGTTTCTGACAAACGTGTTTATCCGCAGTATGAAATGGAGCTCTTCCAAAACGAGACGGCGTGTCAGAGCCCTCTGGACCGGCAGTACCACAAAGAGGTCACGGCCCTAACTAAAACCAAGGGCCGGCAAAACCGCAGGATTTTTACCTACACAGATTATGATCGCTATACCAACTGTCATTCACTGCAGCAGCTGGTGGGTTGCAGCACTTTTCCATATAATTAACACTCAGGAACAAGATTGCTTACCACAAAAAAAGTCATTTAATGTTTTGTCCCCCTCACCTTGAAAGCAGCAAGGCAGTGATTTGCTCAACACAGCCAAGACCAAGCCCACGTTCCTGGCTGAAAGGATGGCCACGGTGCGACATCGAAGGCAGGACAGGCGAACCATGTGGGTGTGAAGCTCCGCCTCTCATCCCACCACAAAGACAGTGTATGTGTGAAGGTGGTTTTGTTGTTTTCTCACAGGGACTCCAGTTTCCCAAAGTCCAAGATCATCAACTGGGAGCCTAGCGATGAGTTCAAGAGGAACAGCCATGAGGTGAACAACGTCATGCAGACAATGCATGTCATGGGAGACCTGGGGCCTCCTGGAAGGTAAAACCAGCCACACACACACAGACATACACACACACACGATGTTCCCCTGAAATTTAATGAAAAGTGGTCACAGCTTAACAAATGCTAACATATAGGTACACTACCCTAAGTTAGAATATCATTGAAAAGTGAATCTAGGTAAGGCATTGATATTTTACAGGTGCTTGTGCATATGTGAAGTTAGACAAAGTTTTTTTTTTTTTTCCCATCCAGATCTATTTCAAATTTACCAGCAATTTTGATTAAATCTGGGCAGTCCATCGAGACCTAAATGTAGCCTGGGCTGGGTATGTCAGTTTTTATGTCAGTAGTGATATATGTTCTCATCATATATTTTTTTTCTCAGGTTGGGTCAGAAGGAGAATGAATTTTTGCTGTTCACTGTCAAAACAGACGGCAACGGGACCATCATAGTGAAACCTGACTTCAACAAGGGCAAAGAGCCCTACAGGCAAGTACACTGAAGACACGATAAGTGTCTTATGTGAAATGACGATGTTAACACTCACGTTTGTTATGGTTGTTGCAGGATAGCCACCACTGGGACCAACAAAGAGATCTGGCATCTCACCATCGAAAATGTATCGGCAACTATGAAATCTGAGGAAAAAGAAAGAGAGCAGCACTTATACAAAGATGTGTGTACACATTTTCTTCCAGAATATGCCATGAGACGACTTAACGTTATGGTAGCCGTGTAGAATTTGTTTTATGACATTAACACACTCAATTTGCTCTGTTTGAATATGTAGCTGTATGTGAGGCACAGGGAGTTTCCAAATAGCCTCGTCGGACAGGACTTTGAAATGGTATGTCATTTGAAATACTATATATAAGTATTGGATGTTTGTTTGTTTTGCTTATTTCACTATGACCGTCTGACCATCAGTCCAAAACAAGCAGTGGTCGATTTTGGATTAGGGCTAACAGTATGGCAGTGCCCCACCACATCCAGCAGATGGTGCTCTGTAAAAAAAAAAAAAACAACAACAACAACAACAACAGAATGAAAATAATCTTTTCTATCGCTGAGTGATGCTTTTTTGCCAACTCTGCCTAGCAACAAGCGGGGGGACGGGTTAAAAAAAATGTCGTTACTATCAGGACTGAAACAATTGTTGACCTGTTAATAGAAATGAGTATGAGTGGGTAATTATGTGTTTTATGTGTGATTTCGTATGATATGTGTGTGGGCAGATTTTGTGATTCGTTCCCTGTTAAAATGTAACTTTTTAGCTTTGCCTAGCCATGAAAGATTTTGACGTTTAACAATATTTTCTTGTAGCCTCCTCCAGGTGTTCTGCGCTACTTAATGAACGGAGAGATCGGTAAGGAAGGCTCAGCTCATTGTTGACTGTTCGAGTTTCTAAAGTGTCTACTTTAAAATTGAAAGCCCTGTCTTCCTTTGTCTTGTCTCTCCAGTTTCTGCCAAGGGCTTTGAATATGATAATTTATATGTTCACTTCATAATGGAGCTGCCGAATAGTAAGTTGCGATCACTTTCTAAGCTGAGGTCTTGACACATGGCCTTGAAAATAACTGTTTATGTCTTGCGAACTAGACTGGTCCAGCTTGCCAATGCAATCCCAATCTGGAGTCACGCACACCTCTCGGACCAAATCGATAGGGAAGGTCCGTACTTAACAAGCTAGTAGACAAATTTCAGCACAGCGCAGACGCTGACATTTTCTCAAACTGTGCCAACAGGACAATGTGGCATATTTCTGCTACCCTTTCACCTTTGAGGTCTTCTTCATGAGTGAGAAAGAGAGCGAGGGTGAGTGTCGGGGACATGTTTTGGTTGCACGCGTGGGACTTCACAATCAAGAAACTCAATGCCGTTTCCTGTCATTGCAGAATCAGGTCCCCAGTGGCCGGTGTTGTATTTCAAAGTTCTCTCACAGGACTCGTGGCAACGATATCGAACCGAAGGCTATGGCTACCTGCTCTTTCCCTCCACACCTGGTAAGTTTATATTAGGATGTAAAATGTGTAGAATTTTACAGTCAGTTCAAAGTGAGATGATGTAATGTTGGTGATAATCTAAAAATCTGTGCTCCGCAGGTAAACACATCCTGACGTGTCACACATGGAGACCCCTTCAGACAGGCACGGTCTCGGCCCTGAGGCGCTTCTTCATTGGAGGTTCCCCGGAACTGGAGGACCTCAGCTACGTTAGGATACCGGGACATTTTAAGGTATTCCTGAAAATGTTGACATAGATACCTACACAGACAAGTTATGAACATTTCAACACTAGTTTTGTTTTCTTTTATGACCGTAGGGAGAGAGGCTAAGTCGCTTTGGCTTTTGCACCGAAAGCTCAGGAAGCGTAAAATTTAATCTTCACTGCATCCAGCAGTCTAGGTAAGGGCTTATTTTACAGAGTTCTGAAAGAAACTTTTCTGAATCATTTTGCTATGTTGGTCTGAAATTTCCTCTAGGGCTTTTGTGGATTCCACTTCAGCAAGGAGAAGGAGACAGAATGCTTTCGACCAGGCGCAAGGATTTAATCATCATGATACTCTCTTAAGCACCATGGGTAAGCAGAGGACTCTTATCAATGGAACTGGAAAAGTGTCTTATCACAGTCTACTATTATAATGTGCAACATTTTGATGATGTGGCCTATTTGGTTTCACCAGAGGCATTTCAACGAGCCAGAAGAAAAATGCAAGAAGTTCGAGAAAGTCTTCCCATCGACTTCATCGCCTCCGTC